GCTCAGGCTGAAGTCGCCAGTGGGAGCGGAGCCGGCCGTCTACCCCTGGCCCCTGCCCGTTTATGTGAGTGTGCGGGAGAGCGTCGTCCTTGGGCGCCCCGGTGGGGAGGAGGTGAAGGAGATCGGAGTGTCATGGGAACGGGGGTCTTTCGAAGGAGCAGGGAGTCCCAGGAGGGTTACTTTTATGGGGACGGTAGGAAATGAGAAGGGGAAGTACCTTTTTGAGACTGGGAGCCCTGTGGGAATAATTTGGTAAAGTAAAGAGGAATTTGGAGGAGGAAATTAACCTGGGGGGATGCAAAGGAAAATTCGGGTACACTTATTCGGTGTCATTGGATGGAAGGTCTGCTGGGAGTTGTTAGAAATAAAGGGGGAGGAAAGTTTGGGGATGGTAAAGAGTGGGAATCTCAAGGTTTTTTGTATAAGGGAACTGGAGACCAGAGTGAAATCAGCATTAAGGCGGAAAGAAGGTTGTGTGGAGGGAGAGCAGAATAGTGTGCTGTCATTGTAGTGAGGGATATTATAAAATTGAGGTGGGGAGGATTGACAAGCAGCTGTTCGGTGTCACTTCAGCAGGTTGCATTTAAGATTATATGGAGGGAACTGAGCTGGTGAGAATTATCTTTAGGTTCCTACTAAATGGAAAATGAAGGTGTGGATAATTAAAGGGGGTATTTTTGTCCTGGGGAAATTCAGTAACATTATTTATTATAAAGTACAGTATTGCGCAAGGACTCCCTAAAGGAGTGCTTCGTGGGGCTATTATGTAAGGGGACAATGAAGTGGGGGAGACCTGATTGCATTGTGATAGACAAGTTGAGGGGTGCTACCACCCATTGTTCCCTCCTTTCTAGTTCTTTTTTTTTTCCTGACAAAGGAGAACATCATCATGAAACTTCCCTTTCAGCTCTCTCTCTTCACCTGTCCACACCATCTTTTCTCATCATCCCAGACTTTGGTGTTCCAGGCACTTGTCCTGGGTTGACCTCCCCATAACCTAAGTACACTCTTCCATTCTTAACCAGATATATTTGGAGTTGTCCTCAATTATATTGCTGCCAATTTTCTTCATGCTAGTACAGTATGTGTTCTGAAAACGTACTCTGTTCTCTTTTCTATGGTATTAGTTTCGTTTCTCAGACTTTAGGCTTTCCTTTTGGTTACCTTAATACAAATTTCCTTTCATTTTTAACATTTTTCAAATGGTTTTTCTAATTTGCTACTGCAGTATGCAATAGCTTCTGATGTAGATGCTTTTACAAGGAAATTAGGCAAATTAATGCAAAATAAACATGTTTGTTATCCTTATCAAGGAGTTCAAAAGATAAACTATCTTAAAGATAATCCATCTCTTGAATGTCAATTTTTGGATGCAACTATGAGAGAGGGTCTTTTGTGCAATGCTTATGGGATTAATGAAAATATTTTGTCAAACCATTGGCTGTGTCCAGAGTACACATGACACTAACCAACCACATTTAAATGTGTTGTGTGAACTCCACTGTGTATATTATGGGAATCCAGGAAACAGAATTAATTTAACCATTAATGGTTCATTTAACCATGGCTATGTGTGACAAACAGCCACTGTGGGAAACAGGATCCTGGAATTGAAACTTTGATCTGTTCTAGCAAAGTAGCTCTTATATTCTATTAAAAGAAGGTATTCTGTATCTTTTCTGTTCTTGATGCCCTCCTTTGCAGACTTCATTTCTTGTTTGTTAATCATAGCATTGCAAAGTTGGAATCAGCTTTGAAGGTCATCTAGTCTTAACTAAATTTCTTGTTGAATTCAGGTTTATGGGATTCAGAAAGAGCTTCCCTGATGGACAGTTGCCTAGATTCTTCTTAAATGCCTCCAATTTATATAGCTTTTCCATTGACTAGGGACTTGTTTTATTCCTTTATTCTCACTGCTACTGTGATAATCTATCTTCAGAGAAGGGGGGTCCTTGATACAGTTCAACTATTGCCTGTCAAACTTTGTAATTTGCTTTAGCACCCAAATCCTCAGTTGACCCACAGATCGCTGGCCTCCCTCAGGATACTGTGTTGTTGCTTTCTTGGTTCTCTGCCAACCTTTTTGGTATTCTCCACCCTGTCACTTTTTTTTTTAACTTGCAAACATTCCTTACATCCCAGGCCAGCCATTTTAAAATAATCCTACTTTTCCTGTTGTGGGTGACTCATTACTTGCAGATACTCCCTGTCCACACCCAAACAATATTTCTTCCATTCTGTTCCACCCTCTGTCTTTTCCACACTTCATAATCTCTGTTTGTAGCCTGCTCAACAGTCTCATATTTTATATTTTCATGTTGAAATACTGTTGATTAAAGGCTTCTCTCTTTTTCTCTTTTCTTTTTTGAAGTATCTTAAATAATTGTTTCACCTGACATTGGGCTTAATACCACTTAAGAAATGTTGTAGTTTGGAACAATTATTACTGTACGTATTAGAATATTTCTATAAAGAATAGGATATTTTTTCTAGGTAACATCTCTTTCTGAAGAGATGGAAGATTGATGATGAGTAAAGTCAAAAATAAAATAACTGGAATGTTAATGGGTTTTCTTTTACTTCCTTTCTTCAGGCCTACATTTCTGGAATTGCTTTGGACTGAAATGTAGAAGAATGTGTAAACTTAAAGTTAACTTTCTGGCTGTATTGAATCAGGAATATGTGTCTTTTTCCTCTGTTTTAAAAAGGAAATGAAATGGGAGTGGGAGGAGGAAGATAGAAATGAAACCTAAATAAAGAATATTCTGCAAATTTCCTTTCCTTTGTTTAGTAATAAATGCGCAAATTCATTTTTCTTAATTCTATAATTACAATCCATATTTGGTTACTACACACATCAGTGATGACATCTCATTTTATTTTTGTAATGGCTTGTCTGCATAATATTTTAAACATTTCACAAATTTTGGCTGACTTTTTCTAATGAATCATTGTGTTTTGTAATGAGGTGACCCTGGGAAATGACAGTTATAAATTCATAATGTGTTTGTGGGGGTGTCAGAGAGAGAGAGAGAGTGTGTGTGGGTAAATCTTCACATAGTTGCCATACCATGTGTTTACTATCTTAGCAGGGGTGGAGAATTGCATTCTTGTTGGAGAATGGGAGTACAGTATTTTTAAAAAGCTGGCATGGAACTGTTTGGCTACTGTATTCTTGCACTGTGTGGCATTTTTCCATTTGTATTCCATACTTCACAGCATAAAGGAGGTAGGGTATACAATATTGAGTCTGAATGGTGCCAGTCAGAACTGGGCAACTTCCCACTGATCTGTGAAGGGACCATAGCTTTTCAACCTGCCAGTGGGTCAAAAATGTCCACTTGATGCATTACTGGAAGAGATGGGCTGAAAATGTTCAGCCTGTTTTTTTATCTTGGAGAGGTTTTAAGCGTGGGAAGAAACATTTTGCTTCAAAAAGGCTATGTGCTTCCATTTTCAACTAAAAAACCACCCCAACCTCAAAGATAAGCAAAACCATGTTGCCCAAAATGAGTTATTTTGCTATTGAATTTCAGTGACCTGATCTTGAGCTGCCAGAAGGTCATGTAGTGTAGATATTTATACTGCATTTCAGTAGAAGATGTGAGGAATTAAGATAACAATTTTTGTGGAAAGATGAATAAAACCTGCTGTGCGTTATCATTGGCCTTATGTCATCTTGGGCCATTGGTTATCTGGTTTCCAAAACATCCTGCTTATTTAGGAGGATGAGCTATTTTTGACTGCTATTCCCAGAGAGCATGGAGCCTGCAGTTGCTCATGTGGCCTTTCCTGCTTGGGCAGCTCCATTGCTTTGTGTGTGTTTGTGTGTGTGTGTGTGAGAGAGAGAGAGAGAGTGCATATGTGCACACTAGTTGATAGATGTGCTTTTTATGGTTTCAATTTCAGTATAAAGTATAATTCCTATCCACCTTGGCTGCAATCCTAAGTAAATGTACATGGGAGTAACTACTATTAAACTCAGCAGATCTTAGCTGTATAGTATATAACAATCTCTTATATCATAGAGTACTGGAATAACTTCCATCAGAGTTCATTTTGTTTAAGGCATGATCTGTACAAAACATTGTTTTCTTTCTGTATATTAGTGTTTTACAAATGTTTACCAATGTTTTGAAATTTAGATTTTCTTGTTTTAAACTGGAGCCACATATTTTAAAGGAAAATATAACGAAAAATACAAGGATATATTTTTCTAAGGGGGTAAAGCATGAGGTGAGGACCCATTGCTCATTGCAATGTACAAGAAGAAAGTCCAATTAAAAGGATCAGAAAGTAGGTAATAGAAAAGGCCTCTTTTTGTTGTAGTGCTGTTTCCAGTCAGACAAAATCCATTAGCTAGGCAAAATATAATCTTACCTAGTGCACAGAAGCTTTCTCCTTCATCCCTAATAGATCAGGTCAGTGGTTTATCTGGTCTAGAAGCCTCTTTACAATTAACATCATAATAGTGTAGTGATATCCAGAGGACTATGTTTTTCTATCTGTTCTATGGAGGTTGCTTCTTAAAAGCAAATTAATGCAAGCATTTAGGAATTTTATTCTCCCTTTATCAGCATAACCCTATTCACTAAAGATGTGAGCCATAAAATGTCTGCTGTGCTGGTGCCTGCCACAAGTCCCCTGGGAACTAATAAGCTGCAGTTGCTCTGTGGCAACTAACTACAATTGGTCTGACTGGTTTTCCCACAGAATAGTACCTACTGCTGAATGGAGTGCATTCAGTTTGTAAGTCTGCTCAAGCTCTTGCTGAAGTTGTAGTGATCAGTGAAGGACAGAATGCTTATTTTATTGGAGATGTCAACTCTTGGATGTGACAGCTCTATGGCATCCTTTCTCAGAAGCTGCTGCTTTCTACTGTCATGGATATTGAGTGTGTTCACCTGACGCATCTCAGAATCTATTTTTCTGTTTATTATTGTTGTGGTAGTAATGTGAAGTAGCTTATTGCCATATATTCAGATTGCCCAATATTGTATCCTGATTGTCTTTATGATCATTGCATAAATCTGTAAGATCTCTGATGAATCAGAGTATCTGGCT